TTAAAAAAAAAAAAAAAACAAAACAAAACTTTTATGTTGAAAGCTTCAATTTTCCTTCCTCATATCTATAAAATTTGACAAAATCTTGTCTCCCTCAACCTCAAGAACCTCCCAAAATTTTTATATTGAAAACTTCAATTTTCCTTAGATTTGTAACTTCTTGTTTATCAATTCAATAATTAAAGATTTTTCCATCCACATTAGGAAAAAAAAAAAGGGGTCTCTTCTTCCTCTTTCACTTTCTCTCTCCTTCACCTTTCCTTGTCCCCTACCTTTACAAACCCTAAAACTTAAAAGTATATTACAATCCCACTTCTCAACACCATTGATTCTCCTTTCTCGATCTCCATTTAAAACCCAGCCATGGACCTTCTTACCATAAACAAAAATAAGCATTTTTGGCAAAAATTCTTAAATCTTCCTCTTCCAAAATTGAATAGGTTAAATCCCCATTTTAGTCCCTGAACTTTCATTTTTGAACTAAATTTACCCTTGAACTTCAAAAAGTACTAAAAAAATCCTTAAACTTCAATTTTTTGGACCAATTTCATCCTCCCATCGACGAAAGTGCTAGATGTCACGTTAAGTTGCCACAAAATCAATTCTTGTTTTTAATATTTAATGATGTGGAAAATAACTTAATCCAATGTATCATTTTTGTTGTCCACGTCATTTTAATTAATTTATATATTTAAAAAATAAAAATTCCTTAAATACCCCTTGAACTTCAAAAAGTACTAAAAAAATCCTTAAACTTCAATTTTTGAGACCAATTTCGTCCTTCCATCGACGGAAGTGCTAGATGTCACGTTAAGTTGCCACAAAATCAATTCTTGTTTTAAATATTTAATTATGTGGAAAATAACTTAATCCAATGTATCATTTTTGTTGTCCACGTCATTTTAATTAATTTATATATTAAAAAAATAAAAATTCCTTAAATACCCCCTTCTTCATCTTCCAACCCCTCTTTTTCTCCCTTCTCGTCTTTCTCTATAAGCTGATGCCTCTTCATCTTGCAACGCATTCAGCACCGATCATCCCTTACCACTTCGATGAACACCTGATCACCAAAAGGAAAATGGAACTCGAATCACCAAACCTCTCCTTCTTCCCCAAACCTCCTCTCTAATGGAACCCAAATATGGTTCCTCGCACAATAATAATGGCCAATAAATCTGATTCAAAAAATCAATTACATT